TGGTGGAATATTGCCCCTACTGATGAGTAACTCAGTATGTACTCTCAGTGGTGGAATATTGCCCCTACTGATGAGTAACTCAGCATGTACTCTCAGTGGTGGAATATTGCCCCTACTGATGAGTAACTCAGTATTTACTCTCAGTGGTGGAATATTGCCCCTACTGATGAGTAACTCAGTATGTACTCTCAGTGGTGGAATATTGCCCCTACTGATGAGTTACTCAGTATGTACTCTCAGCATGGTGGAATATTGCCCCTACTGATGAGTAACTCAGCATGTACTCTCAGTGGTGGAATATTGCCTCTACTGATGAGTAACTCAGCATGTACTCTCAGTGGTGGAATATTGCCCTGCTTGAGACTAGTTACTCAACATTTATCCTCAGTGGTGAAGTATCAAACCACCCCAAACTAAGACATTATACACATTCTCTCAGTGGTAGATTACTATCCCATCCATAGTTGCCAGGTGACTGATCCCAGTCTAGGTAACAGTAGATCAAACATGATGATTCATCCTGATAACAGCCAATGTCACACTGTGTTTATATTTCTCAAAGATACATTGTACACTGATATTTTGATGAGAATTTTCAGGCAAATATGGCCAAAGTTTACAGTCAAGGACAGTGCTTAACAGGATACATCTGTCACATTTCAAGTAAAAACATCATATTAGTCCATATGGTAATATCTATAATGGGTGTAGCAGATTCAGTGGTATAGGTTATGATTTGGAGTCAGCTGCAAATCTTCCCAACTTCACAAATGTTTGCATATATGAATATCTATAACAGCGATTCTTTACATATCACACATGAGCATATATCTGGTACTTGTCCAATATACAAAATAAAATTTGTGTATCAAAACCAACAGAAATTATCACTTTTTTGAGTGCATCAGTCCTGATCTTTGGATGCTGAGATACAAATATGCCCAAAGAATTTCCACATTTGACCTTTAAATGATCTAGTATCATCTTAGAGAGAGAGAGAAAAAGCTAAAGACAGCAAAAGAAAAGCAGTGAAAACATTATTAAAGTATATGTTATACCACTAAAACAGAATGTTGTTGTGCAATTTAAACACTAGGTACTATCAGTTGAGGTTAAAGACAACCAAACCAATGATTTCAGGGGATATGCATTTAGATTGGGTCAATACCCATTGTTGTCAGTGCCATCTATCTCTGGATCCAATAGACCGACCTAGCAATTTAGACATATGTCATTTCACAAAGAGGCTTTTGATGGAACCAAGTATTTATGAGATCACAGAAGTAAATATGACCTACGGTACATTACAATACATAATACAGAGGGCTGGCTAGACGAGTGTGGCCTATATTATCCACCCATGACAATACAAGATCTAAAATATCAATATTGTGAGGTGAAAGTGGGCCAATGATATTCTAGTCATTTATGTATAGAACCAAACCAAGACTTCCTTGATCTACTGATGTTTTATTCTGATGCACCAAATCAACTGGAACTTTTCGAACACCAATTCCGTTTATGTTCTGAATCTATTCGAGCCAACTTTTTTGACACACCAAAGCAGATTTTTCTAAAGTTAAAATCAAATTGAGCAAATGTTTTTGACACACACTGAAGTTTGTTTACAATTTGATCTGTTTTCAAAGCACCAACTTGAGTTAGTGTAGGATCCAAACCAAATGAAACAACATTTTCAACACACCAATTAAGCTTGACAGCACTCTGAATCAATTTGAGACAATATTTTTTATACATCAATTCAAGTTTGTTAACACTCAAAATCAATTTGCATCAATTTTTATACATCAACTCATGTTTGTCAACACCCCAATTCAACATTTTGACATAACAACTGAAATTGTTCTTTATCCACAAAATTAAGTTGAGCCATTTATTTTGAGACACATCAAGAAAATAGTGAGATCATGTTTGTAACATACCAAATCAAGTGTTTCTATAGTCATATGCTTAGGCAATGCCGACCGTAAACTAAGACAAATATTATCAGGTAGACACCAAAGTGTTATGTCTATCTAGACAAAGGCCACCATGTGTAGAATATAATGAGTGCAGTGCTCTAATCTGTAACATTGTCATGATGGCGGAAGCTTCCATATAAGACATACCAATCACATGACTTAAGGTGCATTCTCTCAAACGTATGTAGCTTTAAATGATATCTCTCTAAAGGTAAAGTTTCTATTTTGGATTCTGTACGTTTTCAAACTGTTTTATGGGTAACAGGATAGGGGTAGGGTTGCAAGGACCAATTACTAGAGCTGTCCTATGTATAATTGAATTGCTTCAAACTCCACAAACCACATAAATTACTCACACCTGAAAGAACACATGTAAGAAACATCAAACTATCTCTGATTTCAATGTATTATTTATCATCTGTGATTTTCCTATGTGATCTAGTCTGTGATGTCACAATAAAATTGACCATCTGTGATTTTCCTATGTGATCTAGTCTGTGATGTCACAATGAAATTGACCATCTGTGATTTTCCTATGTGATCTACAGTCTGTGATGTCACAATAAAATTGACCATCTGTGATTTTCCTATGTGATCTACAGTCTGTGATGTCACAATAAAATTGACCATCTGTGATTTTCCTATGTGATCTAGTCTGTGATGTCACAATGAAATTGACCATCTGTGATTTTCCTATGTGATCTACAGTCTGTGATGTCACAATAAAATTGACCATCAGTGATTTTACTGCGTAATCTACTGTTCATGATTTCAAAATATAATTGACCATCTGTGAATTTACTGCGTAGTCTTGAATCTGTGACTTCACAATATAAACATCTGTGATTTTCCTGCGTAATCTACAGTCTGTGATGTCACAATGAGATTGACCATCTGTGATTTCCCTGTGTGATCTACAGTCTGTGATGTCCGATAATATCGACCATCTGTGATTTTCCTATGTGATCTACAGTCCGTGATGTCACAATAAAATTGACCATCTGTGATTTTCCTGTGTAATCTACAGTCTGTGATGTCACAATAAAATTGACCATCTGTGATTTTCCTGTGTAATCTACAGTCTGTGATGTCACAATGAGATTGACTATCTGTGATTTTACTGTGTAATCTACAGTCTGTGATGTCACAATAAAATCGACCATCTGTGATTTACCTGTGTGATCTACAGTCTGTGATGTCACAATAAAATCGACCATCTGTGATTTACCTGTGTGATCTACAGTCTGTGATGTCACAATAAAATTGACCATCTATGATTTCCCTATGTGATCTACAGTCTGTGATGTCACAATAAAATCAACCATCTATGATTTCCCTGTGTAATCTACAGTCTGTGATGTCACAATAAAATCGACCATCTATGATTTACCTGTGTGATCTACAGTCTGTGATGTCACATTAAAATCGACCATCTGTGATTTTGTTGTGTAATATACAGTTATTGTCTGTAATTAAACATTATAACTAACCATATTTGATTTCATGGGGTCTAGTTTCTGTGATTTAGTTATATATTCCATCATCTCTGATTTAGAAATTACCCCTAAGATTTAATCAAGTTTAACAGGATGAAAGTTCATTTTCCAGTAACAACTTAAAGAATGGTAGTCACTTAAGAATGGTAGAAAATTTAAAACTTAATAATGGAAGCAACTTAAAAATAGTAAAAACTTAAATAAGTAAATACACTTTATTTATTTTACGACAATTGCAAAAAGAAATTTTCCAACTTATATTAATAACTCTTGTTGGCCTGGATAGAAGTGTGTGAAGGGTTTACTGTGGGATGAAACCAGAGTACCCAGGAAGAAACTTAAGAATGGTAGAAACTTGAGGATGGTAGAGACCTGAGGATGGTAAAGACTTGAGGATGGTATAGACTTGAGGATGGTACTTGAGGATGGTATAGACTTGAGGATGGTAAAGACGTGAAGATGGTAAAGACTTGAGGATGGTAGAGACTTGAGGATGGTAGAGACTTGAAGATGGTATAGACTTGAGGATGGTATAGACTTGAGGATGGTAAAGACTTGAGGATGGTATAGACTTGAGGATGGTAGAGACTTGAGGATGGTAGAGACTTGAGGATGGTAGAGACTTGAAGATGGTATAGACTTGAGGATGGTAGAGACTTGAAGATGGTAGAGACTTGAAGATGGTAGAGACTTGAGGGTGGTAGAGACTTGAGGATGATAGAGACTTGAAGATGGTAGAGACTTGAGGGTGGTAGAGACTTGAGGGTGGTAGAGACTTGAGGATGGTAGAGACTTGAAGATGGTATAGACTTGAGGATGGTAGAAACTTGAAGATGGTAGAGACTTGAGGGTGGTAGAGACTTGAGGATGATAGAGACTTGAAGATGGTAGAGACTTGAGGATGGTAGTGACTTGAGGATGGTAGTGACTTGAGGATGATAGAGACTTGAGGATGGTAGAGACTTGAGGATGGTAGTGACTTGAGGATGGTAGTGACTTGAGGATGATAGAGACTTGAGGATGGTAGAAACTTGAAGATGGTAGTGACTTGAGGATGGTATAGACTTGAGGATAGTAGTGACTTGAGGATGGTAGTGACTTGAGGATGGTATAGACTTGAGGATGGTATAGAATTGAGGATGATAGAGACTTGAGGATGGTAGAGACTTGAGGATGGTAGTGACTTGAGGATGGTAGTGACTTGAGGATGATAGAGACTTGAGGATGGTAGAGACTTGAAGATGGTAGTGACTTGAGGATGGTATAGACTTGAGGATAGTAGTGACTTGAGGATGGTAGTGACTTGAGGATGGTATAGACTTGAGGATGGTAGAGACTTGAAGATGGTACAGACTTGTGGATGGTGAAAATTTAAAGAACAATAGCAACTTAAGAATAGTAGAAACTTAAGAATACTAGACAGTTTGAAATGATAGAAACTGAACTTCTTTAAATGACCTTAATTTCAAACACTAAAAACTTCACCATCCATGTTTGGATAGTTCATAAACTGCTGACTCACCAAATATGTTGTTGTTATTGTTGCTGTTGACATGATGTCTCAGGAAGTCTGGACCCTTGTTACGTATTCGATCAGGTGTCATTGTAATGGATGTCTGCACTGCCATGATGACCAAAGGTCAAAACTTGACTGATACAGTCCTTGGTGGGTAGAAGGTGATTGGTCAGTGTATTCTGTCATACAGGAACCTTATCTGGTCGTGAGATGATCCTCACACCTGCCTCATGACTGTTACCTGTCCCTGCCACTCTATACACTAGGTAACCCTGAAAAACAGCATTTGATATTTAGAGACCAACAAAAAGAGACTTATCACATAAAATCCACATCACCTATACAAAAAAATAATACGAACACCTGTGATCAGACATCTTATTCTAAGCGGTCATTACATCCAATAATTATATGTGAATGCATGTGGTTTTCTGTGGTCACTTACAATTCCTCTTCGTATATTCACAATCAGTGTTAGAATAATTAACATTTAATAAGGCTTTCCGCAGTCACTTGTAGGAGGATTAAAGCTATTTTCTGTCAGAGATATTTAAACCCGGCAGATACACACATGTTCCTACAGGAAATAGAAGCCTTTTGTTGTTTAGGTATAGACAATGCATATCACTAGACTGGAGGCCAGCCAATAGGTTATAACCCGCTAAATCTTCCAGGTACAAAAAAAATATATATCTAAAGGTAAAAGATCTCTACTTAAGACCCTGGGAAAACCTTGGAATGGAGAATTAAATACAAAAAAGTCACAAAACACTTACTGTCGCTTATAAGGGCCTTTATCTTTATGAGAAAGTCTGGTAGAGCATGTGACATAAGAAGTTTATGCTGCCGATACAGTACATACCTTGTAACACCTGTATCCCGACAGTAAAACCTGTTGAACCTTAAGCACACAAACACTTATGTACTAGTCTAACATATAGGGTAGCTGTTCATATATCTATGTTATCTACCTGTTTTCAGACACACCAAGTACCCAAAATCAACACTTGGATGTATATCTGCTCCTAAAGAGATCCATGTATCAGGTTATACTTTTATAGGTTTGTCCTCGGTATACCTCTATCTTTCCTCAATCTCAAGTTAAAGTATATGCTATATATACATATGCTGTCACAGCTGATGTTAAATGATATATAGAAAGCAAAGGAAGAAAAAAAAATTCAATACCTGGAAATGATGTTTACCATGGCAACAAACAGGATGTGAAGATAGAAATCTCCATATTTCATAAAATTATGGCTTTTGATCAAATTAAAGAGACCGTTTTAAAGACACGAAAACATCTAAAATTAGAAGTATATAAAGAAGTGTCTCCTAACAATATCTTGACAAGATGTCTACTTTTACCAGTATCATCGAATTCCTGTCTGAATTTTTTTGCCAAACTGTAAGACTTTTACAGACTTTTTGTTTAGATACATTAAGATCCATATCACACAAATTACTTCCATATACCTGTATATTTCCTGGTCACTGTATCACATAAACTTGGCCAGATCTAAGAGTTGGTCCCAAGGAATCAAGCATCTCTGGTGATAGTTACAATTTGTAACCTGTTAGTAAGGATGTGGTACAACTAAACCTTATAAAGCTGTATAATGTATGGTGGTCTACATAGGCAGGGCTGGGACTAGCCTTATCAGGTACATGTAGTTCATTAATAACCAGGCCTGGCAATAACAGATAATGAGGCACCTCTGGTATACTGACCTCTCAAAGTATGGTCAGCTTAATGTCAACATTTAACTATTTTATGGGGTAATTATATAAATTTGTGAGATGATAAGAAAAACACTGTTTACTTTCCAAATTAAAGCTAAGGAAATTGGCAGAGTTTAAGATAATTAAATCTTGATCAAGGCATTGTGTAAAATTTAAATCTTGGTTATTAAAACTCCACAGGATTATGTTCAAACTATTGTAACTGATATCAGTGGGTGTTTAAGTACAACAGATATACCAGACTGAAACTAACAAAGACGGATATGTACTTCAAAATTAATAAATTGCTTTAATAGATATTCAGGTATAGTGTGACTCATGATGAACTTTCTAAATTATATATATATATATAGAGCTGTCATTCTCTTCAGGACCTGTGACTCATCAAAGCACTATATCAGTGTCTCTGGCAGTCTCATCATCTCCCTGATCAATTTACCTGTGTATGTACACGTATCTGGTACAGGTAGGACATTTCTATATTGATTATCCTAATGACTATAAACAATGACTGACCACCATCACACAGGAGCCGATCATCCAATTATCAAGGAACTCATTTGAACAAGGAAATTAATTCATTCTTGGTATGCGTTTTCAGACATTAAGAAATATAACATAGTACAATTTTTACCAGTAAAATGTAAAACAAAATCCTTTTTGTTAGAACTTCTGACATGTTTTTTAATGTGTCACATTCCATCAAATTGGTAGGAAAATTCATGTGCAGCTGTGGACCAAAAAATCCAAAACAGAACAATGGAAGTTTTTCATAAAGTTATGAATACATCTATAGAATCAGTGTTAAGTAGATGGATGAACAGACAATTGGAAAAGTTAAGACAAATTGAACACTAGCTCATCAGGATAATGGTCATTGTCTAAAACGAAACTAATTATACCAAAACAAAATTTCTGTTTTCATATAAACTTAAAACGTTATTGCTTATATAATGAAAATATGCTCATTGTATACATAACATTTTTACCAGTAAACCTGTCCAAATATTTAGCAGACTTCACCCTGAGTCACAACAACTCGCTATACTGTTTATAGTGTGCCACTGTTTATTACTTCTGCCATGTTGAAATTGGAAATGATATAACTATAAAACTACCTGATTTACCTGTAAACCAATTGTGTACCTGTATACCTGTTTTATACAGCACAGGTGTGGCTGACTATGGAATTACCTGAATGTGATATAACTCACAACTTGAATATCTGGGTTAACATTGTATCTATTTTTTGTGATGGTGTAATACAGCTGTTTATCAGACACAACACAGGACTAGTCACTGGTCAAGGTCACCCATACCTGTATTAGTACAATAGTAGGTCACATAATCCACTGTGGGCTGCTGTTGACTAAAATACATGCAATCCCTTGATATCACGTGTACAGTGCAGTATTTTTTTTGAGGGGTAGGGGTTTGGGTGGGGTAGATATCTCTTTTTATATGAAATTGATATTTCACTATCACTTAGGTACCGGTAAATAACTCCTATATGGTCCCATTCATGTTTCTTATGTTACATTATAGTAAAATATGACAGAGATATTTGTGTTACAGTGGACTTGAAATAATATTATGCAGAATAAACTGCCAGATATATAAAGAAAATACATTTAATTAAATGCTGAAGTGTTTAGATCAAATGTTTTGAAAATAAAAACTGGACATAGAGAATTAATTACCTACAATCATAAACAATTAACCAAACAAACATACAAAAAATGTCTGGACTGACCACAACTTATTACTCCTGTCAACAATAGCCATGACTATAATGGACAATCATAAGAGAAATACACCTAGACAGTGACCACCAGTATTCATCACATTAGTTTACAGAACAAGGGTTATCTGCACTTACAAGTTCATTAGGCCAGCAGGTACAAATGCTTTTAGTCGTTAGTCCAAAGAAAGTATTATACAGATCAGCTAACTCTATAATGGGTTTGTGTTAAGCAGGTCTAATTATAAAGGTACACATAGACTGCTATGTTTGTGATCTGTGTACCATTTTCAAAAACAATGGTAGTATCTAATAGCCCAGGCTGCTTCCTTATCAATCTACCATTAATTTGTTTTGCTGGTTCAGGTTTTCCTTTTTTTTCAAAGTAACATATATTTAATTCAATTCAATCAATATTGCCCTTAGCTTTGTAGTTCATCAGTTAAAGATACAATATATGCAGGTGGAAACAAAGAAACACAAACCTTCTCATCTACACATTTATCATTTACCAAAGAGGAAATTCAACATATTACCCATGTACATTTAAATCATTTCTTTACTTTTTACTCTCATACTGAAAGTTGAATGAATTAAAAGGTCCATTAGAATAACATTTATTGATGAAACACTTCCTTAAATCTGCATATCATTCACATTTAATTATGAAATTCATCTCCCATGCAGACCATGAAGTTAACCTAGCCTGAACAGACCCATGGTAATGTAAATCCCGTCCAAACAGACTGATGTGACTACATGTTGCTTAACAAACCAATTAGACTAAATCTATCTAAAAAGTCCCCAAATACAGGAGGAAATGGCAGACCAATTCGACTAAACCTGTCTTATTGGTTCCCTTGTACAGGAAGAGATGGCAGATCAATTAGACTATGTTGTCCTAACAGTCCTGTAGTACAGGAAGAGGTGTCAATTAGATTTACCCTGTCTAAACAGTCCCCTATAATACAGGAGGAGCTGGCAGACTGATTTACACTGTCTAAACAGTCCCCTAGTTCTAAAGGAGGAGATGGCAGACCAATTAGACAAATCCTGTCTAAACAGACCCCTAGTACAGGAGGAAATGATTATAACACTATGATCACTATTCTAAATATCCCTGTCAGCAGTATGTGTTTACCTGTACAAACTTTTTTGTGGACCTATAGGTATCTGATAGATACTATCAACTGTAGCTATTACAAAATGAAGTATAAACTACGTGTTTGTATTTTTCCTCACTAAAACAGGCAGATGACGGTTTCCTAGTTGTCTGACTCTATAACTAATTTTAAGGGTGGTCAGGTGGCGCAGTAGTAACACACTCGCCTTTCACCTAGTCGTCTAGGGTTCGACTCCTGGAACGGACGTGAAAAGGTAAGGGTCACCTGCCCGACCATGTGGGTTTCCTCCCACAATAAGACCCCTCACACGCTTACATCTGGGCCAACAAGAGTGATTAGTATAAGTTGAAATAACTTGTTTTGCCATTGATGTAAAATAAATAAAGTTTATAGTTAACTGATTTTAAGGCACATGACTGTTAGTGCAAAACATTAGAATTTATTTTCTTAAATCACTTAAAACAGATGAAAATTTATGGTTCAGCTGACCTAAGTTTCTTTAAGTAAATCAGAATAAAATACATCTGTTACATTTCCCGTCAACACATAGCTAGGTTGTAAAGATAAGTGAAGGCACCTCTAACAGGGTATTCGGTGGCATCATGGACAATGTATTTCCCCTTTTACAAGATAGTTTGAGTTGGATTTCTCGAGAAATATCATA